CAATCGGTTCCCAATTTCCACCTGGTCGGTTGAGTAGTACTGACTGCTTGCTGATTTCCCCCTTGTCTTCACCCCAACCCCCAAATAGCCTTCTGCCATGTTCTTAGCAATCCATTGTTAGATATTCCAGGCCATGTGTAATGCCATTGACATGTTCACAATACCCATTAAGAATAGAAAGTTATTTAATGAGATATGGCATGAAGTTGTACCCCATAATGAAAGTCCCAAATTTTCCTTGAAGAATCCTGGGAAACTTCAATATATATTTTGAGGCCCTTCCCCCTGAAGAGTGACGCTGTTGGTTTGAGATGTAGCCTAAATGTGTGATTTTTTAAAAATATATTTATTTTTTATTTTTTGTACTTAAAGATCTTTTTATTCAAAGTCACAGTACAATTGTGTACATCAACTATGCCTCAGTTTTTAAAAATCACAATTAGAAGGCTGCACCTCTGTACTTTCAGCACCACTTCTACTCATGTTGCCACAGTTAACTCACTTTGCCACTCTACTCTCCCCAAATGTTGCACAAACCATCCAGTTTACTGACTCTGCCAAGCACTAATCAACCAGGGTTTCCATGCCACTTCTTTTTAATGAACTTGAGTAAGTCTTCAAATATGGGAAACTGTTCTAAATAGTAGTAACATATCTGTGAGGAAGTTCTGGTTCTTCCTATAAGTACCCCCCACCCCCCGCAACCCCAGCTCTACTAGAGGCTCGGTGCTATTGTCAGGTAGCAACATCCTGGTGAGCAGATTTGGAGGTACAGTCAATCTAGCTGTCTCTGTGTTTCCTGGAAAGTGAAAGTGTTAGTAGTGTCTGACTCTTTGTGACCCCATGGATTGTAGCCCACCAGGCTCTTCTCTCCATGGAATTAATTCTCCAGGCAAGAATCCTGGAGTGGGTTGCTGTTCCCTTCTCCAGGGAAATCTTCCTAACCCAGAAATGGAACCTGGGTCTCCACTGCAGGTGGAGTCTTCACCATCTGAGCCACCAGTGAAATCCTCCCCCAGCCCCACGTAGAATATATGTTCCTATTTGCTCTGCTGCCCCCCAATGGCCATCTGAGTAAGAAACTAGGGGCTGAGATGCACAAAGGCATATTGGCTGAGTCTACTGAATGTTGAGGTTCAAGACTCTCCCTGTGGGTAAAAGGTTTTAAAACAACTCATCTAAGAAGTGTAGTGAATAGGGTAAAAAGTCCCAGCCAGGTGCCACGGGCCTAAGAGGCAAAAATCCTCTTGCCCTAAATTGGTTCTTACTTTGAAGTACTTAGAATGGTTCTGTGTTGGGATACCACCGTGGTGCAACTGCATTGTGGAGGTGTAGGTATGGTGTGGAGAAGGCGCAAGCGATAAGAGACTGAGGTGAAAGGACCTGTCATATATCGAAGGTGTAGATAAGAAAACAATGGAGAAGGAACTGTGTTGGTCTTTGAGATATTCTAGCTGCTGTAGAATTGCATCCCCTGCAGATGTTGTTTATCAGTAAGACATCCCACATGGTCAGGTGGGATTGATTCCTGGACTCTGCAAGAACTTTCCACCTTGTAACTGAGAAATGGTCAAGGAAAAAAGATAGCATTTTCAGGGGTTTTGTTTTACTCCTAAGCCTAGGAATTGAATAAGAGCTTCGTAAGTGGCCGAGTATTTAAACTGTAAACGTGAAGTGGGGGAGGACTGGAACTGGGAAGCCCAAATCCAGCAAACTGATCAAATTAGGCAGAGAGATAGCCTAAGCTGTCACCTGGAACAATGGTTTTTGATGCCTGACTTATTGGAGGGTCCCAGTTGGATTTCACCACCGAAGTGTGTGTTAAAGAAGGAAGGAAGTAAAAAAAAAAAAAAAAGAAGGAAGGAAGTAGAGTGAAGTGGCTGGAGTCAAATCTCAACTCTCAGGGGCATCTTCTGGGAGACATAGAAAAGAACTTTTTATCTTCTCATCCCTTTCACCTAAAAGCAAAACAGGCAGCTGCTTTGGGCTGAAGTTAGTCCCATTTCCCCTTCAGTATGTCAGGCAGAAAAATTGGCCTGGCCATCAACTCAGCAAAGGAAGTTTGCCTACTCTGCTTGTACCCTCCATACCTCAGCAAGACTGGGAGAAAGGAGCCTTTCCTCTTCCTTCAGCAGAGAGGAATTAACCTCTGGAAAGAAGGGCAGAAGCCATGGCTTGGAATAGCTCTGTGTATGTGTATGTGTGTTTCTGTGTGAAAGAAAAAACAAAGGTCAGGTTCAGGAACATGAACCTTTTGCACTGCAGAGTAGGGAGATGAACCTTACCCCCACCCCACAATAGGATAAGCCAAGGTTATCCGAAAGAGTAAGCCATGGTGAATAACTAGGGACAAATGCAATGGAGAGATTATAAAGAAACATGAGTTATATTTTTTGCATTGCAACTGGTTTTGGCACTGGACTCAATAATTCTGCCTCCTCTGAGGGACTTCTCTGGATAAATGAGAAATGAAGGAAGTGATCAGATAGTGGTAAGACCCCCTTCTGACCCAGAGTTACTGGATAGGGATAGTCCTTTCTGAGGTATAATGATGCTTCCCTAGGACCAAGAAGCCTCAAAGCTCTAATCCCCGACACAGGTAAATCTCTCAAGTAAATAGAGTAAAGTATTAAAAAGCAGAGACATTACTTTGCCAGCAAAGGTCCGTCTAGTCAAAACTATGGTTTTTCCGGTAGTCATGTATAGATGTGAGAGTTGGACTATAAAGAAAGCTGAGCGCTGAAGAATTGATGCTTTTGAACTTTGGTGTTGGAGAAGACTCTTGAGAGTCCCTTGGACTGCAAGGAGATCCAACCAGTCAATCCTAAAGGAAATCAGTCCTGAATATTCATTGGAAGGACTGATACTGAAGCTGAAACTCCAATCCTTTGGCCACCNCCAATACTTTGGCCACCTGATGTGAAGAACTGACTCATTGGAAAAGACCCTGATGCTGGGAAAGATTGAAGGCAGGAGGAGAAGGGGTCGACACAGGATGAGATGGTTGGATGGCATCACTGACTCAATGGACATGATTTTGAGCAAGCTCTGGGAGCTGGTGATGGACAGGGAAGCCTGACACACTGCAGTCCATGGGGTTGCAAAGAGTCGGACATGACTGAGCAACTGAACAGAACTGAACTGAGACCCTCCCCATTGGGACTGAGCTAGACATGCCAGAAGCAGTTGTAGTTATGCCTTTCCTTTTGTTCAGATCAATCTTGTTACCCACCAACATGGTAATGATATAATCACCTCTCTATGCTCATACATCTTCTACCCACTTATCTGTTTCCTCAAAAAAATTGATGTCTACAGGATAATGTGTTGCAGAGAGTTGAAACATTTAGTTGAGATTCAAAGAGAATAACGTACCTGTCTTCCTCTCTGCTCGTCTTTTTTTTTTTTCCTTATGCACTCATGCTTGTATTGTTTTTATCCTCTGTGCTAGTTTTACCAACCCCTCTATTGCTTCCTGCAATCCCCTTTTCAGGTGAAATGCGGCATAATATCCACTTGTGATGTTGAAGACAACCACAGCAATAATTGAATCACGAATGTTGCTAGAAATTAGGCTGCGAAAGTGCTTCTAGCCAGCTGTGTTCCATAACTGCAGCTAACTAGCTTTCTAAAGGCTAGAATTTAATCAAGGGAAAATCAAGAGAGTCAAGGAAATTGGGTTCCTGAAAAGTAGCGGCTATGGCTACAACCAAGTAAGTGTCTACCATCCTAAGAGAGGTTCTAACTCAGTAGACTGTTTTCATTAAGGAAGACCCTACAGAGCAACAGATTTAAGTATTCGAGACTATTTGTACTTTGTTACATACAGGTAGAGATTAGATGAGAAGAGACAGAAAAAGAAACAGCACAAGGTTTGGTGATCTGGGGAGGTTTCACTTTTTTTTCTTATTTATTTAGTTATTTTTGTAGAGGTTTCACTGTTTAGTTCTCCTTTATCCACAGGTAATGTGGGCTTACATTACAGTAAGCACAGCACAATAAGGTGCTACCCTACTGTGATGAATAGGCCTAAGTGGTTGAGGTACCCGGTTAGTGACGTGGGAGTGAACACTCACTATTCAGTCCTCCAAGGACATGACCTTAGACAGGAAGTCAATGCCAAAGGTTGCCTGCAAAGGAGGGGCAGATACTTACTCTGTACCCCTCCTCTACTCCCAGTACCAGGCAGTCTTAGACCCAGAAGTAGAGAATGGCCCTTGAAAAGTGTCCTGGTTCAACTTTTCAACGCTTACAATAGATAACTTTGAGGAAAAGAATCCCCAGGTAAGTTGGTCAAAGAAGGGGGCAAAAAGGTACTGTGTGATGCCTTGTACTGGGCTCACCCAGCAGGTGCCTTCCAAGCTCTTGTACATAAAGTGGGTGAGAATAAGTAGGCCAGATGACACCCTGGGTGAAATGGATATTGATTCCCCTGAGAGCCCCCTACTCCATTCCATACCATCACATCTTCTTATCCCCAAAGCCCAACCTAGGCCCCCACCACTCTGCCAGCCAAGGATTGCAGGGCTTGAATTTGCACAGAGACTGGGTGCTCGGGTGTGATGGATCCAAGGCTGAAGCCTTGGCGGTGGGCCTTGAGGTGTCCTTTGTGCTTGGCAGATGGGTGGCACTTGCTGCCTGGGGTCACTTGGCACTCCATCCAACCATCAACGTCACCTTCAGGCCTGGGCTTGGGGCCATGCCCTCTCAGGCCCTGCCCACAGCCCTGAGGTGGGGCAGCTGGGCCGTGTGTGATCCTGGGAGTGGGATAGTTGGGGGTGGGATGAGGGCAGGGATGGCCAGGAAAGCTGAAGCACTCACAGAGGGTAGGTGGCCTTGCCAGAGGGAAGTCGGATCGTTTGGAGGTAAAGCATGTGCTGCAGGAAATCTAATCACTGGTGTGGATTGGGGGTGGGAGGCTTGGAGAGGGGGAGTTGGTTCATTCTAGATAGTTCCATTACCCTCCTCCAAGAGGAGGAAGTACCAAAGAGATCAGAAGGCACATCCGGACAAGCTGATTTATTGAGTGTTGCAGTGGGACCCCCACACATAGGTACTGGAGCCAGGTGCTCAGCTGCCCTCATCCCCCTCAGCTGCCAAAGCCTCCTTGCTGTCCTCTCCATTGGGCTCCTGCTGAGCAAACTCCTCGATGACTATGTCCTCAGAGCTTGCAGAAGGGAACAGAGGGTTAGGAACAACTCTCTGAGCATCATCCACTCCAATTTCCTGACCCCAGAGAAATGATCCCTTCCTTGCCACTCAGCTCAGACCCTCACCCCCTCTCAGCTGCCCTCGCCCCACATGGACCACACTGGGCTTGTTTCCTTCATTCCTTCCCCAATCTCCCAACACAAAAGTCCCCCCCACTCTCAGAGGGGAAATAAGAATGGGGGGTGGGAAGGAGAGAAGGCATGGAAAAATGAAAAACAGGAGAAATAAGGGCTAGGAGGCAGGGAAAAAAGAAAAGACTGGAAGGGATGAGGGTGAAGGACGACTGGGAGAAGAGCAGGAGGTGGAGGGCGGGGGATGCAAAAAGGGAAAGTGGGGCTTATGAAAAGCACTGTACTGAACTACGACACGAAGTTTAAACCATATGTTTCCACTGCACACCTATTGAAAGCAACACTCCAGGGAAGCTTTTTAACATTTCCATTGTCGTAAAACGGAGAGTGGCATGGGGAAAGGGGTGGAGGGCGAGGTTTCCAGGCCTCACATTTTCTTACCTAGCAGCCTCTGTAGTGAGCATAGAGAGGGAAGGAAATATGGATTAAAGCTGATAAGTTCCCTGAAGAAATGTCTTGTTACTCTTCCCTCTCCCTTTTTGACCATCTCCCTCTCATATATACACAACACACATACACATGTGTGAGTGCACACACGCATACACACAATTGCCCTGAAAACCTATTCACCCACCCTACCTACTGCTATAGAATCTCTACTCAAACTGCTAGTCCTAGATTCAGGAGATCAGAATTGGCTTGGTCCCCAACCCTCGGGACCACTGTTCCTGTGAGTCCCACCTAGTCACTCACCGTCTGAAGGCTTTGGATGCATCAGGATCAGGGGGAGCTCCACACCAACATCACTGCAAGGATCCCAAGGTTGAGTTACAGATCTCCCTCCAAGACCACTCCCTGAACCTCTCTCCCTCAGTTATTTGGTCCTAGGATGCCCTTAGATTCTCCCTCATCACTCTTTTGATCTCCTGATTGCATCCTCCCTTTCTTGCCCTGGTTCCCTCCACCCCACAGTCTCTTACCTGGCTGTCAGGTCGCCTAGGATGCTGAGGGTAGAATGACACCCTAAAATTAGCAGCTGGAAGTGGAAAGTAGCAACCTAATTTGACAGGGGAATTAGGGATTGTAAGGCCAACTCAACCACAGAATCGGTTTCTGGAAGGGAAGGTAGCCTGCTCATGGAGCTCACAGGTTTGGGAAACGGGTCCAGAGAAGGGGTGGGTTGAATGGGTCAGTCAAACTGGGAGGAAAACAAAAGTGGCTCCCCAGCCCCTGCCCAGACAGACCCTGCATTCTCACTCACCCTCCACAGGACACCATCAGGTTGACTCTGACTTTGTAGGACACCAGGATCCCCAGCAGCTCCTTGTCCACTCCTGGTTGAAGACTGGGAGGTGGTAGTATTCATTGTTGTGTGTTTGAGGGGAAATGGCTGTGAGGGAGCTAACTCATTCAATCCCCCAGTCCCTTCCTGTGCATCTTTTGTCATGTGACAGGTCTCCCAGGCTCTGATCTACTCATTGGGATCGCATTTCTGTTCCTCAAATCCAGTTTTACCATGTCACCCTCTGCTCAGGAGGCTACCTCTCTGAATATAATTAGTACACTGCTTGACTTTCACAACCCTTCACAATTTGGCCCCACCTAGCCTCTCTAACCTTCCTGCCCTAACTCCCTAACACCTGGGATACGACCTATCTGGACCCATCCTCTCTCCTTGCTCAGAACAAGCCTTGCAGATTGTTACCTTCTAACGTTTCCCCAGGCTATATTCCCAATTTGGAACTCTCTTTTCTTCCTCTATTGCTATCCAAATCCAACACATTCTTCAAGATCTAGCTCCTTCTGTCTCCTCCAGCTATACTGGCTTCTTTGAACTCCTATTGGATTTATAATCTGAACTACACATACTAACATTTAACTGATAGATGGCATTTGCATTCCTCTTTGTTCCCCATTTAAGCCATAAACTGAAGGCAGAGACTATCTTCAACTTCTTTGTACCCTCCCACATTGCATAGCATAGGAATGAGTATGTAACAAGCATTCAATGAAAACTGACTGATTGAAAAATAAGGCACAGGAGTTCCCTGGTGGTATAGTGGATAAGAATCTGCCTGCCAGTGCAGGGGACAGGTTCGGTCCCTGGTCCAGGAAGATTCCACATGCTGCAGGGCAACTAAGCCTTTGTGCCACAACCACTGAGGCCCACACACTCTAGAGCCCATGCTCCACAAACAAGAGATGCCACCACAATGAAGAGTAGCCCCTGCTCACCTCAACTACAGAAAGCCCACACACAGCAACGAAGACCCAGTTCAGCCAAAATTAATTAATTAATTTTAAGAAAAGGAAAATACAGAAAGCTATATGATCTTGGAGATTTTCCAAGATTTTTCATTGCCCTGGGATGCTGATCCTCTATCTGCAAAGTAATGCTATTGGGATGATTTCTCAGGCTCTTTGAAGCAATAACAATGTATTGCTACATGATTAATAAGGCACAGAGAGTCAGTGGGAATGAATGCTTGTCAGATGGTGGCAGATGGTTTTCGGTAGGAGACACATCTTACACTAGGGCCTCCAAGTGTTAGGCATAGGACCAAATGAATGACGATATAATTCTATCAGTTCCTATCATGTTCTTTTTTGTCCTCTTTTCTCTCCATTTCTCATCTGTCTTCCACTGAACTTCTATCTTCACTAGAGAGTAGCTGCTACAGAGATCGCAGTGTTAGAGCCAGATGACATGTGATAGCATCTTTTCCACCTCTGCCACTGTGCAAGCTTAGACAAGTTCCTTCATCTCTGAGCCTCAGGGCCATTAAGTGTAAAACAGTAAGAACACATATCCAGCCTAATTAATGGGATTCTTATGAGGATAACAGTACCATACATAAGACCTTTTTGAGCTGTAAAATATACAACATAAGGAATCTTTCCTATCCACTTTTTCCTTTCTTATTGCCAATGACCTAAGCCTGTCATTGGTCCTATGGGTATTATTTAGCTTACTGTTGACCCTCTTGCCTAGAGGTGTCTCTGAATGTTTAAAATTTTTTTGAAACAGGTAGGCTTCATTGAAGGTGAAACCTCAAAACTGTATATAGCACACAGAATGGGTTGGGGGGGTAGAAAATGAAGGCTGGGAGTTACGTGTGAGCTTACATTGTGCTAGAGGCCAGATTGGTGTCACCCTGCTTGAGTTTGCCATCCAATGCCAGGCCCTGTTTCTGGCAGTTGGGTGCCAGGAGCGGGGTTACTTCAAAGCTCTTGGAGAAGGTGGAGTTAGCAGCTATAGTCTCCCTTTGAAAGGAAAAGAAGAGAAGAACTTAAGCTAGGCTTGCCAACTAAGTGATTCTCATTCCCAAGAGTATTTTGCACAGTTCCATGAACCTACTGGAATATCCAAGAGAGCTGACATGTCTGACTGTGGAGAGTGGGAATGATTCACTCTGGTGGGAAATCATCTTATGCCCCCACCCTCTCTCAGAATTGATGATCCTCTTGTGGGTATCCTCCCTCTAGCTCTCTTGAGAATCCCTCCCTTTTTCCACATCAGCCCTCACCTTGACCTTCCTCAGTCCTGCCCTCTTCCCCATTTCCTTCTTTCCCTAATCCTCTCCTCTGTCTCCAGACCCCCACCCTCTTTCCACCACCCTACCCCTCAGCTCTCTGACCCCAGCCCCAGCGCCAGCTCACGTGAACTCCTGAACGAACACAGTCTTGGTGTACTTGTCTAGTGAATACAGGACGACATCTGTGATCTGGTCAACTGAAGAGCCAGGAAAAGCACATGACTATAGTTAGTCATCCTCAAGACCCCAACTCACTGCCCTTGTACACGGGTACACTTCATGTGATGTACTAAGATGTGCATATATGGATGAACAGAGATGTATGTTTTGATAAGCCTGCAATGGAAGGAAAGCCTAGATGAATGCAGACTAGGTAAGTGGGGGCAGAGTTCTGGAAAAAAGACCTATGAATTTGGGACCAGGGGCAGGGAGACAGGAAAAGAAGCTCACCTGAAATCTTGATTTTTTTGATGACCTTGTTGGTGGAGTTGTTGATGGAAACATTGACAGAGATGGGTTTGCCATGATAATTTACCTAAAGCAGGAGGAGAGGCCCGTTATAAGGTTGGAGGGAGAACACTCAGATAAAGACCTAGAATTTGTTTCCTTAGCACTCTTGCCGACCTGGCCTCCACCCTTGTCTTCCCAAGTAGGAGATCAATAAAGAAAGGGTTTCAGAGTGGTTGCATGCTAGGGGGCAAGAAATGGGGGTCACAAACCTCCTTGTCCATCCAGGCCTGGAGTTGTAGGGGCTGAGCTGACAGGAGGAAGCGGCGCACAGTCTGGGCACAGGGGCCGGGGCCTGGTTCCAGGGGGGCAAACTGTATTTTCCGAATCACCAGCCGCACAGAGTCTCTAAATAGAGGCCAAGGGGACAGCCAGAACATCTCCTTAGGACCCACAGACCTTTCTTGTGCCAAACCTATAGCCCAGTCCTCATTTGGCTGGTGGGGGTGGCAGAAGGTTTCCCTCAGAGAATGCCTCTGGACCCTCAAGGTAGGTATCTAGACCATAGGTCAGCAAACTATGGCTCATTGACTAAGTCTGGTCTGCTGCTTGTGTCTGTATGGCCCACAAGCTAAAAATGGTCATTACATTTTCAGGTGGTTGAAAAAAATCAAAGAACAATATTTTATGACATGTGGAAATTATATAAAATTCAATTTTCAGTGTTCATAAAGTATTGGAACACAGCCATGCTTGTTCATTTACGTACTGCCCATGGCTGTTTTCATGCTACAGTGGCACAGTTCAGTAGGTACAACAGGAAGTACATTGTTCACAAAGCCTAATATTTCTTGTCTGGGCTTTGACAGAAGAGTTTGCTGACTCATGCTCTAGAGCAAAGAAGAGAAATTAGAGGGGAATCAGAAATGGGCATCTGAATTGGTGGTGATGCTGCTACAGAGGTTAGAAGTAAGGATGTTTTTGTCCTGATAGCAAGATCTGTTTCCTGGTACAGGCTAGAGGCAGGGATTTTGAAGTTGACCACAGAAATACCTCTTGGAGACTTTCTCCTCCAGGTTTTCGGCACAGAAACTCTTCACTTCAAAGTCAATACCGCAGGCCTGCAAGGGGGCAGAGGCAAAGAGAACTCATTTCTGACACTGCCCACTCCCTTCTTCATGGGTTTGTAAGGAAATGTCTGATCCCATCCCTTAGCTGTCCCTTTCTCCAGTCTTGTCCATTTATCCCTCTGTCCGTCTTTTTGAGAACCCAGACCTCACCTTTCCTGTATCATCAGGACCTGGCTGCAGTGTCACCGAACAAGGCAGGTTGACAACCATCTAAAGGATCAGAAGGAGGTCAGCAAACAGAAGAAATAGGGACCCCTTTCCTCTGTTCTCCTTGTTTAGTTTCCTCTCTTAATCTTCCGTAGAAGCCTTACCTAGGGCTTGGGGTCAGTACCTGCAGGGTAAAGGGGTAGGCATTGTCCCCCAGCTTGTGCAGCAGTCGCTCCTGCAGGACTGTGAGGGGGCCCCGGAGGCTGTTGGGCTCAGCTGGGACCACTTGTTGGACCTGTACGTACAGATCTTTGCGGAATGTCAGACCAATCACATCCAAGTCATCATGGCCGTAGCGAAAGGCACAGGTCAACATGACAAACACTGCAGGCAAAGGAACAAGAGACCTGTCAGGTCTGAGGGGGAAAGGAGGTCTTAATGGCGTCAGAGGAAGCTCAGAGGAAGACATGAGAAACAATGTAATATTATCAAACCAGTATGGCCATAAAGAAAAGGATTAACACATTTGACTACAGTAAAATTTAAAACTTCTTTACATTAAGAATCTTTATAAATAATGAAACAAGCAAAAGCCTGAGAGGAAATATTTGCAACACATGTAACAAAAGTTTAGTGTTCATAGTATCTAAAAAAACTCCCACAAATCAGTAATAAAAACACAAACATTCCAATATAAAAGTGTGCTAAGTGTATGAATAGGCTCTACACAGAAGCGTGGAATGGAATGGCCAATGAAATATGAAAACATGTCCAGTCTTCTTAGTGATTAGATAAACGCAAATTAAAGCTACAATGAGAACATTTCTGCTTCCTCAGAAATTTTTAAGTCTGACAGCACTAAGTGTTGAACAATGCTCCAGATGTGAAACAATTGATTACATACTGTGGTGGGAGTATATGTTTGTACAGCCACTTTGGAAAACTGTTGGGCACTGTCCAATAAAGTGGAATCTGCTCATATCTTATGAAATAAGAAGAATTTAGTGAAAAAAAAAAAAGAATTTAGTGGAACTCTTGCTCTTGTCTATAAGGAGAAACATATGAAATGTCCATGGCGTCAGTGTTTGTCATAGCAGAAAACTGGAAATAATTTAAATACCTATCAATGGGAGAGTAGGTAAACAGTTATGGTATATTCATATCATGGAATATTAAACTGAGGTTAAAATAATGAACCTGAACTCAGTGTATTAACATGGTTAGGTCTCAAAAGTTGAGTAAAAGAAGGATGATATGCACAATCATAACATGTATATAAAGTTGAAAAGCATGTAGAACAATACCAAAGTTGCTTACTGATATATAAAGTTAGAAGTATAGAATCATCATGGGAACAATAAATGTCAAATTTAGAATAGTTATTACCCGAGGTGGAGGCAGGAAGGAAAGGAGGGAGGGAGGAAGGAGTGTGGGATTAGGGAAGGATACGCGGGAGACTTCAGTTGGTTTCTGTAATTCTTTTTAAAACTAGGTGATGGGTACAGGGTATTCATTGCATAATTCTCTAGGGTCAGAACCTAGGTTTACATACAACTTGTGGAAATCCCTCGTGTTGTCTGAGCCTCAGTTATTTCACCTGTCAATAATAAGACTGCAGAAGAGCTCTACAGTTATTACCTCTGTTTTATAGGTAGAGAAAATGAGCTCAGAGCAGCTAAATGACAGCCCAGGATTTTAACTCAGACATGACTCTAAAGCCCAGACTCGTATGCCCAGCTTAATTCACAGGATGGTTGTAAGGAGGTGATGTACGAGAAATCCCTGTGGAAATTTAGATTATAGATGTGGATGATGATGATGATCATGGCAATATTAGAGAAATGGAACAATGATAATTGAACTTATACATTACAGCTAGTACCTAAGATTATTGGGACAAATAGAAAGCTACTTCAGTGCACTAGTGGAGTGTGGGATGGGGTACAGAGAGATATCTGTCCAAGGACAGTGACAGAGACTGAGGGAAGGAAAGATTTACAACAGGGGTTGGGGAAAAAAAATGGAATAGGGGTCGAGAATCTTATTTTTAATCAGGAGCCCTGACCCAAAGAAAAGAAAACTACCAAAAGCCACACATTAGTAGAAACCAACTTATTTTTGTATTTTTAAGGAATGAAAATATACAACAGTCAGATTATCTGATTTTAAAATTACAAACAAGCAAAGAAAATGAATCTATATTCAAAAGATACAACAAAGACTGAAAGTAACGATAATGGTAATGCTTATAATGTCTGGGACAATGGACAGCCTCATACCCTGCATGAGGGAGAGTTAATTGGTACAACCATTTTGAAGGGCAATTTGGCGATAGAAAGCTTTAAAAATGTGTGACTACCCTTTGGCCATTCATTCCTTTTCCAGGCATTTAGTCTAAAGAAATAATTGGACAAGTATGAAAAGAAATACATACAAGCATGTACTTTATGGGGTTGTTTGTCATAGCAAAAAAAGTCCAGTGGTTAAAGTTGGCTAAATACATTATGGTGCACTCATAGAATATAGTACTAGGCAACCAAAAAAGTTATAGATTTTTACATATTGCATAGGCAAAAAAGAAGATTAGAAAGTGTTATGTATAATATAGCATTTAAAATAAAAATATAGATATTTTTACACAGAAAATATGAATAAATGTGAACTGAAATATCTGTGATTATCTCTGGGTGAGAGGATTACAGTCTTTCTCCTTCATTTGTACTTTTCTAATGTTTCTTCATGAAGACAAACTTAACAATTTTCAAAAGATACAACAAATTAAATTCATCTTGGTTTCCCGGTTATGCCAAAAAAAGTGGGAAAAGGGAGAGAAAGAATAGGAAAAGGAAAGAGGGAGCAAAGGAAAGGAAAAAACAGAGAAGATGAGGAAAAGAGATGGCTGGAAGGAAGCAAGGGAGGGGATGAAGTGAAAGAGAGAAATCAGAAAAAGAGGAGGGGCCAGGCAAAAGGGTATCTAATAGACCATGAGCTCAGGGTGTGTTAATCAGATGAATTGTTCTTGACACATCCTGCTGTGGTATGTGGTGGGAAGGGCATCACCCCACCCCCAAGATCTTATTGATCCTCTGACAGTTTACAATCATCCTTTTTTGTGTTAAGAAATAGCTTGTTTTAATTTTTTTAATTCAACATCTATTCTAAAGTTATTTATATTTGTGTTTACTATATAAATAATGCATATTAGTTGTGTGACAATTAGAAAACAAGAATAAAAAGAGAAATCATAGTCCTGCCATCATACATATTTCAAGATAACTGCTCTTAATTTGTTTCATTTGCTTCCCAACTTTGTTTCTGTAATTAAATATAAGGCCACCTTAGATATTTATGACTTCTCTTTCATTGCCTTTTTGAAATGAAACATTTTATTTTGAGATCATTGTAGATTTACATGCACTTATAAGAAATAATACAGAGAGATCCCACGTCAATTTTTGTTAAACCACACTTCATTCACGCTACCACATATATTGCCCTACAACTGGCCTTTTTCATTCAGTGGTGTAGTGTTAGCGTATTTTACAACAAATGCACCTCAAAAGAAAAAAAATACATATTTGGAAATGTTATGCAAATAAGATTATCTTGATAAAAGTAACAAAGCATATAAAAAAAGCTAAGGAATAAACTTAAATACATACAGCTTAAATGAATAATAATATAAAACTAAGAGACATGAAGATTAAAATTAAAGGAATAAACATTTTATTTCCTGGGTCGACATACATTTTTTAAACTAAAGATTTTTTTCTGTAGGTTATTCTGAAAATTTTGTAGGGCTGTGAAAAAATGATTTAGGGTTTAGAACTACAGAGTAATTGAGAGGCTTAAATAAGTTGATTAATTTACTGGCTATACCCCAAAATTCCTCTGATATTTAAAAGTGGGTGGACTGCTTATCTGCACTGTTTAATCTGAGCAATTAAGTTTGGTTTATTCCACAATACCTAAAGGTTGCATGTGAACTAGTATTCATCAATTTGTTCTGAACCTTTTTCAAATCGAACTCAGTTTTCAATCTGTTGGATCATAGAGCAAGAATTAAAGAAAAAAAATTGGCAAAGCAATTATTTCAGTGTAATCTGGAACTATAATACTATAACCAGAGTAATGTCTTTTGCTGTTACTTGCTGTAGGTATTGTTTTGTTTATTTCTTTGGGATTTTTTTTAATGGAAAAAATGGGTTTCCCTACACAAGGAGATACGGAAAGACATATGCAAATAAAGGGAAAAAGAAATGCAAAGTGGCAGCCTGAAGGTCACATCCAGCCCTTGGAAAAATAAAGTTTTTTGATTAATCCGGGGCTTTAAAAAAATCTCTTAATTAGCTGCCAACATTTGAAAATCAGGACATTTGCTTAATGCAAATTATAATAATTTAATCTGTATTTTAATAATATGGATTTCTGGTGTACTGGATCTTTCAGTAGGCAGTCTAAGTGTGTGTTCAGGTTAGCAGTGAAGCAAAGGCCCCACCAACAATAAGGGAGAAAATCAGAGATTTTAGAAAAAAGCATTAAATTTCAGCACACGTGTAAATTTTGTGTGATCTTGGAAAAGAAAATGTAATTAATGCTTTAGAAATATATCTATTTTAAATATTATTTGGAAGAGGCACTAGAATCTTTTCAGACTTTGAGCCTCTTAAAGTCTTATTCTGACCTTTATTTCCAGTTCCTCTTTAGCAATCAGAAAATTTGGCCACACAGAGCTGAAATTCCCAGTTGTTAGCTTCTATCAGATAAGACATTCACAGTTCCCACCACTTTTTAATTTTCTTATAACCCTCTGGTCCACTCGTCCAGCCCACTCATTCAGATTACTTGTCTGGTGTGTGTGACATTTTAGGTTGGGGTCCCTAGCATATACACAGACCAACAAGGATTTTTACTTACTCTTTCGGCCTTTTAAGTAATCAGGGTCAACCAGGACTACACCATCTATGGAGAGGGGGAGAGACGGCATTCTGGTCAGGAAAAGTCCTCAGACTATGAAACAAGTTCCTCTTCTGCATGGTCCTTTCTTGGCTTTCTTTCACTCCCTTGCTCCCACTCCCCTTCTCCCCAGGCTCTTTCCCTTTTCGGACTCACTGACCGATGGGTTCCACCATGTCCACATGGTCCACGAAGTCCCGTTTCCCCAGGTACATGGATAGCTGTTGTGGAACAACCTCCCATGTTACTCACATAATCTTCTTTTAATGGATTCCCCTGAAGGCCCCAACCCAAACCCCTGGGACCTTGAAGGACGCACACACCTATCCCTTTTCCCCTTTCATTTGCCCAGCTGGGTCAGGTTCTCTCACCTTGCCATTGGAGCAGGTCTTCTTAAACACCCTAAGAGGAGAAAATCAGAGGATATGGAAAGGGATTGGAAGAGAAGGGAGGGGGAGAAGAAGGGAAAGGAAAGAAAGGGAATTGGGGAGAAAAGGAACTATTTCTAGGATTAGAGGAAGAGACCCAAGGAGAATGAAGTGACACTCAGGTGGAGGCAACACAAGTAGAAGAGAGGTTGCAAACTCCTCCACCCCAAAGGCAGGTCGTTGGGTTTGGGTAAGCCACAAGTCACAGAGGCAGAGAATTATCAGTTCTTACTTACCTAGACATGTTGGCCATGGTGTGGATGTTGAGCCTTTTCTGGTAAGGGGGGAAGGAGGGAGGCTCAATCATTTGATCCCATTCTCCTTACCTGGCTTTGATATACCATCTGGACACACCTGGTGTGACATAACCTTTTCTTCTTAGGTAGACACCTCACCATGATCTATGCTTCCTATTTTCCCTCCTACCAGGGTTACTTATTCAGGCATACTCTCACCCATCCAGGACACAGGAAGAAAACTCCCCTAGTTTTTACAAATTATTGACTAATCATACTGTTTGTTCTCCAGAAAGGATGAGGCTTTTTTTAAATAGCTGGGGCCCTCTCCACTCGAGAGTGTTTTGGGAGAAGGAATTTGTTTGGAGAAAGACCTTCATCCAGGAAAGTATGAAGAAAATTGTACTGGATGAGGTTGAGCATCACCTAGCACGGGGTAGATGCCAACACATGTTTGTTAGATACATGAGTGAATGAATGAACAAAACCCAGACTCTGGTTTCTGCAATGGATTCTGAGCCTGAGTTCACCTCACGGTGGCCTTAACACAGCTAAGGAAGGAGAAAGGTGCAGGAGAGTAAAGGTGCCCTCATGCTCTTGGTTGTTGGTGGCAGAAGCCTCTATGGAAGTTGAAAGCCTTCCTTGACCCTATTCATTGTTCTCATCATCCTCCCCAGATTTGCCCACTCTTACCCCCATCAATGTACCCAGGTGCTAAGCCTTGATCCTTAGAGAAAGATCTCTCTCTAATGCTTTTCTTTGATGTGTATTAGATCTGGCCTGAGAGGAACTTAGGGGAGTTTCAGAGGTCTCTCCCAGGGTATCTCGGCCTGAGTGCCTGTCAGCTCTGTTGGGAAAGGTGCCCCTCAAATGCTTCTTGATATATTGAGGAAGGTGCTTAAGGGCAGGGGATATGGGACCTAGTATGGGCTGGAAATAAGAGGACTTTGGACTATTTACCTGGGGAGGAAGGTGAAGCTCACATCCGTCTCCAGCTCTGGTTGCTATGCTCGCCTCTCCAACCTCTTATACCCAAGGTCCTGTGAATTTTCAGATTGGTGGGGGTCAAGGGAGAAGAATAGGGTCCGGGGGCGGGGTCTAAAATACTGCTTTATAAATAGCTCAGGTGCCAAGAGTTTGGAAAGCAGATTAGTGGACAAAAGATTAGTTGCTAAAAGATTAGCTGCTTGCTGCTGAGACAGGGCCAAGGTCAGGGGTTGAATCTGATGGTGTTAAAGTCAGGGGAGCTTGCGAAAAGGAACTACAGGGTTTTGGCCTCTTGAGGCCTTGAACCTGAGGACTGGGATCAAAGGAGAGTCGGGGACATTAAAAGAAATGCAAGGTGAGGGATAGAAATAGGAAGGTTCAAAGTATAAGCCTTTGTGATTCTGAAAGGAGAGTCTTGTGTCACATTCCAGTCTTTCTGTATCTCTTGAGCAGGTATAACAGGCCACACAAAAGCCAAGGGTATGGGAAAGAGCACCCTTTCCCTAGCCTACCACTACTTGGGACTTGGGGCTCTTGAAGTAATGTTTAGAGACCCAGTTATCCCAGATTATGTGCACAGCAGGAGTAGATCTCCTGTAAATGGGGGTGGAGTGGGCAGGGGAGGCTGAGTGTACTGAGCTGTGTGCACACATCTGTGAGCCTTGAACTTCTTTTCTTGTTGAAGAGGAAGGTAACACAAGATTCTTGGCCCAGGGGCAGGTTATCCCAGCAGAATGTTGCCTGTGGACAGAAAAAGCAATTGACATCTTTACATGTCTGCCCCTGCCACAGTCAACCTTCCCCCATACACGCCCTCAGCCCTTGACTCGCTCCAATCCCTAAAACTAAGTCCACGCTATAGGCCCTAAGCAGCTTCCCTCACCTCATATGACCACTCATGGAATTAAAGATATTTCTGTCCTGCAGCTGCCAGGACCCCTGCAATGGCAGCAACAAAAGTAATCTTCCTTTCTTGGCTGTCCTTCCCGTAGAACACAGGCCCAGGTTTCATCGACATGGAGGATGTAGAGACAGGATCTCCAAACTCTGGGGGTACAGGGCCCCACCCTACTTTACCTCACCATATTTCAGTACCTATCCGTAGATGCAGCCTCAACCCTCCAGGACAGCCTGTCTCTTCCTCACAGGGTGGCCGCGGCTGTGGCTCAGGGGCTGGGCCTTCCCTACCTCCCACTCGCCACTGTGGGTGCTGAATACAGCTGTCCTGTCTTCTCTTTGCCCAAATAACCATGTTAGCCTTTGCCATTCCCTGTCAGTACGCATCCCAGGGCCTTGGCTTTTAGTCATTGTAACTCTGCTTCTTTAGCTAGAGCTAGAAGCCCAGACTCTGAGGGGAAGGTTGGTGTCCATGGGGAAGGTAAAGTCAGGATGAATGTTCTTTTGGACTAGGCTTCAACCTATTTTTGTCTTTAGACCCACATTTGAAGCTTAGCCTCTCTTTCAAATCAGGTCCATGGTCCTCCCAGCAGGAAGAAAGTAGATCTGGTAGGCCTTTAATTCATTACTATGATTGAACTTAAATCATTCTCTCTTTTCCTGAAGTATGTGCATTTCTTGACTGAGGTATAATTTAGCGAAAGTAAAATGCACAAATCTCAATTGCACAGCTTGATGAATTTTTACCTACTGTAGAAGGCTGAATAATGGGCCTCCAAAGATATCAGGTCCTAATCCCAGGAAGCAATGAATTTTACCTTATATGGAAAAAAGGAACTTTGCAGATGTGATTAAATTTAGGATCTTGAGAGGGGGGAGACTATTTTGGATCATCTGGGAGGGCCCTAAATGTAATCACTAGTCTCTTTATGAGAGGGAAACAGAGGGAGATTTGACTGCTGAGACAGAAGGCAATATGAGGATTGCAGCCAGATGCGATGCTACAGGCTTGGAAGATGGAGGAAGGGAAGATGGAGGAATGCAGCTCTAGAAACTGGAAAAGGCAAGGACACGGATTCTCTCCCGTAGTCCCTCATGGTTGCAAGGTGGCTGTCACAGTTCAGGTATAGCCCTGCTGATACTTTGGTTTTGGCCCAGAGAACCTGATTTTGGACTTCTGAGCTCCAGAACTGTAAAAGAATAAATGGTATTTTAAGCCATCAAATCTGTGGTAACTTTTTTGCAGCAGTAATAGGAAATTACTAGAGCTATGTAACTACTACCCAGATCAAGATATAGAACATTTCTAGCTCCCCAGGAAATTCCCTTGTGTCCCTTTCCAGTTAGTAGTCTCCCAAAGAGAACCATCACTCTGGTTTCATTTTGATCAGGAGTATTTTCATTTTAGGGCTTCCCAGGTGGTGCTAGTGGTAAAGTGCCAATGCAGGAGATGTAAGAGATATGGGTTCAATCCCTGGGTCGGGAAGATCCACTGGAGGAGGGCATGGCAACACACTCCAGTATTCTTGCCTGGAGAACCCAATGGACAGAGGAGCCTGGCAGGCTATAATCTATAGGGTCACACAGAGTTGGACAGGACTGAAGCGACTTAGCACATACATTTGCATTTTTTGAGGAGGCAAGAGTAAGAAGGCAAAGGAATACATCTCTAATGGTGAAGTATCTGGCCCCTGTGATAGATTAAGGGGAGAGCTATTTTCAGGTCTTTATGCACGCTCACTCTGCACACCCCAATGATATTTCCAAACCCACCCTTCCAGTTAGGAAGTGATGACTAGATCTCTGAGTGAGAAATGGTTGGCTTATTCCATAAGGCATCGTAGCAGACAGGATTGTTTATCAACTCAACAGGCATCTTTCACTTCCTTCTTTTTGTTTTTATAATTCATTTGTTTTTGGTTGAGCTGGGTCTTCATTGCTTCCCTTGGGCTTTCTCTAGTTGCATAGAGAGCTGGGGCTACTCTTCTTGCAGTGCACAAGATTCTCATCATGGTGGCTTCTCTTGTTGTGGAACAGGGGCTCTAGGCACATGGACTTCAGTAGTTAAAGCATGCGGACTCAGTAGTTGTGGCACATGGGCGTTAGTTGCCCATAGCATGTGGAATCTTCTCCAACCAGAGACTAAATCCGTGTCCTCTGCCCTGGCAGGTGGATTCTTTTTATATATCTGTATCTATCTACCTTTATTTATTTTCTTATTTGGCTGCATTGGGTCTTAGTTGCAGCATGTAGGATCTAATTTTTCCCTACCCAGGGATCAAACCTGGGTCCCCTGCATCAAGAGCCTGGAGTCTTACCCACTAGACCACAGGGAAGTCCTTGCCCTTCCTTCTTGTGGACAGAATCCTCATTTTTCAGGTACCCCACCTTCCTCCACATGGCTCACTTCTCCTCTTGGCCAGTTGTGGTCATTTCATCCTCCTTGCCAGTTGTTGGTTTAGTTATAGGATAATGAAACTCAGGCCACTGAGATATGAGGGAAAGCATGGTAGGGCGATTCTGGGAAAGGTTTCCTGAATAATAAAAATAAACACACAGGAAGAGAGCCCTATCGTCAGTGGTATTTCCACATTTGGATGCAATGCCAGAAATAAAACAGCCACCTTGTGACCATTAGGGTTGCTGAACAACAGGCTGAGGGGTGCAGATCAGAAAGATGGAAAGAGTCTCTCTTCCTATAAAGAATTTTTTAATGACAATGTTAAACTGTTGAATTAGCCAACTCAAAAGCTCCCTGCTCCTGGACTTAGATTATATATTTCCTTATTTTAAACTCAGCTGAGTTGGAGTATTCTGTTATTGCAGGTGACAGCATACCAGCAGACTTAAGTGGCATGTGGACAATGGCACTGTCTCAGTGTGGGAGGATGGAGAGGAGGCAGACTAATCAAATAGTAGAAACAGACTTCCCCTGCTGTCCTAGGTACTGGACACAGAGGTTCTGGCCTCTGGTCTAAAGTTGTTAACAGCCTTGCCGGAGATAAAGAGCAGACATTTAGAAACACTAAAAGGGAACGCTTTAGAAAAGACCCCTGGTACAACACTAACCTGAATACAATTATATGGAACCAGCCAGTCTCCCATGATTTTACTAATAAATTTGGATTGTTCGGGATTTCAGATTACTGCTCCTTTCCATCAAGCCTGTGGGGACTGTCTTTTTCCACTCCACACTGCACCTTACTCTCAGCAGGTGACCTCATTTTTTCACCTCACAAAGAAAACCCAGGCAATTGGGGTGAACTTCTCAATCTCCAAACCCTCCAAATTCACATATACTTTAATTCCTAATGATGAAGAGGCTGATAACTGCCAGACACTGAGAGTTGACACATTGCCTCATTTTCTCCTCACAACAAGGTCGCTACTAGTATCCTCATTTTATACACGAGGAAGTAGAAATTTAGGAATACTTCTCCACAGTCCTATAGCTAGTAGGTGATGAAGCCATAGGTAAATTCTAAGTCTGTATGACTCCAAAGCCTGCATTTCCCCTACTATTTCACTTTTCTCTCCTGTTCTTCCTTCTTTCCTTCCTCCCCACTCCCCCCACCCCCAACCCAGAGAAAGAGAGTAGAAACCATGCCTTTCTCCCTTATCCTTCTTTAGGCCCCAGGGAAACAGTTAACATTGCAGAGAAACTGTCATCAAGACATTTATGAATATTAGATATGAGGGGCCAAGAGGGGGAAGACTGGAAGAGTAGGGGCACCAAAGGATCTCAGCAGCAACAGTATCCATGTTGCTCCTTTCTGTCATGGGAAAGAAGATAATGAACTTTGCCTGGCACACTAAATTCTAGATATCAGTGAGATGCCCAAGTGGATACATGTTACAGCAAACAATAAATACAGGGCTTAGATTATAGATGTGAGAATCATTCAATTCAACTAACTGTAACAGACTATTCATTCATGCAACAAATTTATTCAACACCAGGTGGCGCTAGTGGTAAAGAACCCACCTGCCTAATGGAGGAAATGTAAGGAATGCCAGTTCAATCCCTGGGTCAGAAAGATCCCCTGCAGAAGGGCATGGCATCCCACTCCAGTGTTCTTGCTTGGAGAACCCCATGGACAGAGGATCCTGGTGGGCTACAGTCCATGGGGTCTCAAAGAGTCAGACTTGACTGAAACAACATAGCTCATAGGCTCTTGTATAAGACTTATCTACTTTCTTAATATTGAAATGAAAGGCATTTTTTGGACAACAAGGTGTATAATTTGGGGGGAAAAAATCCTGGAACATATATCATCATAACTTTACCTGGAAGGCTTTGAGAAAGACAGAAGTAAAACCAAATGCTTGTTCTTAGGGAACTCTGGGTATGATTTGGGCGTGGGAAGATCTGGAGGAGATAGATAAAAACACAAATGAGTATAATTCCAGGCAGTCTGTGGTATGTGCCATAGTCTCAGTAGAAATCAAATGTGATAAGAATGTGAGAGAGAAATTTGGTTGGAGACAGATCTGTATGCTGGAATCTCAGTTCAGTTCAATTCAGTTCAGTCACTCAGTCATGTCCGACTCTTTGCGACCCCACGGACTGCAGCACGCCAGGCCTCCCTGTCCATCACCAACTGCCAGAGTTTACTCAAACCCATGTCCATTGAGTCGGTGATGCCATCGAACTATCTCATCCTCTCTTGTCCCCTTCTCCTCCCACTTTCAATCTTTCCCAGCATCAGGGTCTTTTCCAGTGAGTCAGTTCTTCGCATCAGGTGGCCAAAGTATTGGAGATTCAGCTTCAGCATCAGTCCTTCCAATGAATATTCAGGACTGATTATCTTTAGGATGGACTGGTTGGATCTCCTTTCAATCCAAGGGACTCTCAAGAGTCTTCTCCAACACCACAGTTCATTGGTCATTATAATTATTCATAACTTGTAAGTTAAATCATGACAGTGGATGGAGAGAGAGAGAGATGGAGAGGAGAGAGGAATAAACAATGGAAGAATGGAAATAGAGAAGAGATTCTGGGAATAAGCCTTGGGGAAGGGTCACATTTGGAGGAAGGAGGACAGAAAGGAGCCAGGGAAGGAGACAGAAGGAATATCCAGAGGAATAGGAGAATCAGAGTAATGTAAAGTCACAGAAATGAAAATGAGGAAGAGTTTCACAAGAGAGAGCCAGTCTGGTCTGCAGCCTTTCATAAAGTAGGCATTCTTTTTGGCCTAGGTGACATGAGCGGAAGCTAGCTTCCGGTTGGGGAATGTTGGGAGAGGTGTTTTCCTGAAGTAGCCACTGGGTGGTAGTGGTGGCAGCGGCGGCAGCTGCAACTATGTCCAGGGACTGGCAGAAACTTGGCAAAACTAAATCAGCTTGAAGCAGTAGGAGAAAAACTGGCTCCTGCTGGGGCTTCTCTAGTTTTGTGGACACTGGAGTGTCCTCTTGAGTATATGCCAAGCCTCAGATCACATTTGTCCTCCTCTGAAGAAGCCAGCTCCATCCCTGGGAGCAGAGTAAATAATACGAAGTACTTCATAGATTAGCAGCATTTTAAGGTTTACAAGGGGCTTCCCAGGTGGCACAGTAGTAAAGAATCCACCTGCCAATGCAAAAGACATAAGAGATGCAGGTTGGATCTCTGGATCCAGAAGATCCCGTGGAGAAGGGCATGGCAATTCACTCCAGTATTTGTGCCTGGAAAATTCCATGGACAGAGGAACCTGGCGGGCTTCAGTCCATGGGGTCTCAAAGAGTCAGACATGACTAAACACAGCAGCACACATAGTTTGCAAAGTGTTTTTACATCTATTAACCAATTCAGAAAACTCTGAAAGGTTGGTATTATTGACCCCACTTCACTGATGAGAAAACTCAGTTATGAAGAGGGATCCGAGGTGACACAATTAATATGTGGAAGAACAAGGATTTGAATTCAGGTGTGTCTGGCTCCGAACACCTGGGCCTTTTGTGCAATATCACAGTGTTCAGCTATCCAGGACTCAGGCTATGATCTCTTATTCCTCGCCTACCTTTTATCCACACCCTCTCACACTCCCCACCACTGGGCAAGGATATTCAGGCTTTTCCCCCCAAAGAGATTTCTGGACCTTCCAGGAAATCTAGATTCTAGCTTCTAGAGCCTCCCCTGCAGCCCTGCCTCCTCCTCCCAGGATCCAGCTGGGTAATATTCTTAGAACCTGAAGATCAGGTTCAGATTCTCCATTGCTTCGCAGCTCTCTTCAGAGTGGTCTGCTGCAGTCATCTCTCCCTTCCCAAGAGCACTACCCACCTCACCCTCAGAGTCCTCCAGGCCCAGAGCTTGCCTCCTGAGCCTAAGACCTTCATAATCACTCAGCCTTAGTTAGTCCCAGGAACCTCAGGCCCAGAGCTCCTGACAATTCCACATTCCCTAGTACTAGCCTCTTAAGCATCTAGGTTTGGCATCTGCTCTTTCTTGGCTGTATTCAGACAAGGGTCTTCTGGGGTGACAGAGATGAGAGGTGACATGTAGGAAGAGGTAGAGATTGTAAGGGAAGCATGTTGGTTAGCATCCTTGGGGAAGAGTGAACCGTGTCCTCACCACCTCCTGTTATGTGTGTAATTGTTCAGTCACTCGGTGTCTGACTTTTTGCGACCCCATGGACTTCAGCATGCCAGGCTTCCCTGTCCATCACCATCTCCCAGAGCTTGCTTAAAGCCATGTACACTGAGGCAGTGATGCTATCCAACCAACTCATCCTCTGTTGTCCCCTTCTCCTCCTGCCTTTAATCTTTCCCAGCATCAGAGTCTTTTCCAGCTCAGTAGGACTCTTGAAATTGGCAGGTGAAAAAACCTCATCTTTCCCCAGATCTGCTTTTCTCATAGCCTTCCTCATCTTTGTCATCCAGTTGCTCAGGCCAGAAATCTGAGAGTTATTCTTGACTCCTCTCTTTCTCTTATATCCCTTATCAATAACTATTGTCATCTTTACTTTCAAAATCTAGCCAGAATCTGCTACTTCTTACAACCTTCACCAAGGATGTGGTCCAAGCCACCATCATCTTTATTGGCAGTAGCCTCTGGTCTGATCTTCCTCCTGTGTACACCATCCTGTAGTCTGTTCTCAACATAGAGCTGGCCAGGGAGCCTTCTAAAATGTGAATCAGATCCTGACACTTGTCTCTTCTAAACCCTCAATGGCTTGTCAGTCACTGAAAGAAGAAGCCAAGGTGTCCTCACAATGTCTTCCAAGGACCTTCATGATTTGGTTTGTGCTGAACTCTCTGACCTCATCTCTGTGTTTCCTCTTCCTCACAATCATCTGGTCTTTGTTTAAGTAAAGTCACTCAGTCGTGTCCGACTCTTTGTGACCCCATGGACTGTAGCCTACCAGGCTTCTCTGTCCATGGGATTTTCCAGGCAAGAGTACTGGAGTGGGTTGCCATTTCCTTCTCCAGGGGATCTTCCCGACCCAGGGATCGAACCGGGTCTCCAGCATTGCAGACAGACGCTTTACCGTCTGAGCCACCAGGTCTTTGTTTAAAAGTCACCCTAATATTTAAAACAGAAACACTCTCTATTTTCTTTTTCTCCTATACTTTTTTCCATAGCAATGATCATGATCTGTATATTTTACTTGTTAATTTTATTATTTTTTCCTTCCCACCAGTATGTAAGCTTCATTAGAGTAGGAGTTTTTGTTTTGTTTAGTACTGGTGAACTACCAGTGCCTAGAGCTGGACCAAGCACATAGTAGGCTCTCAGAAAGTATTTGCTTATCCTTTCCTAGATTATGGCCAGTGGCTTAGAGAGGCCACTGAGATAGCAATTAAGTCCATGGATGTTAGAACCTGGTTCAAAAGCCAGCCTGCCTGAGTTCAAATCTTGACTAAATACTTCAACTCTTAGTGCCTTAGTTTTCTCATCAGTAAAGTAGGGATAATCATGATACCTACTTCAGAGAGCCTGTAAAGCCCTTAATAAGTATTAAGTATTTAGAACAGTGCCTTGCGTGTAGTTAGTGCTATATATACATTTCTTATAATTAGATGCACATGGAGTTAAGATTTATATCAGTAGTTTAGATTTTCTAAAATTTTTCAATGTGTTACCCATGTTAACATTCATTTCCCATTTTTCTGCTCATACAGATTTCTATGATTGTTCTTCAGGTTTGGTTATCTCCAATCACCTGGCTCTTGCTCTGTCAACTTGGATGTTTCCTTGTGTACTTTCTCCTACTGTCATTTAGAAGCTGTTAAATAGTAATCTCGCTGGGCCGCAGTTTTCCAATCTTGATGGGCCTTGCTATCGCTAATGATTTCCCAGGACGCAAGGAGGTACAAGCCCCACCCCCAATCCCGCCTCCTTGGTTATGCCCTCTGGCTGCCAAGGGGAAGGGTGACAGAGTCAGCTGGGCTCAACCTCAAGGGGACCAGGTAGGAGACATGTCAAGTTTCTTCGGTAAGGGTGGCAATGGGTCTGGGCTGGCCCAGGCTGGGGAAAGGCATCAGATATCACTGTAGTACAGAGACACTGGGACCAGGGGAGAGAAGTCACTGTGCGGAGAGATGCCCTCTTCACAGGATGTCACTCTTCTGATGAGCTGGGAGAAAATTTGGGTCTGGGTATCTTCCCACACTGGTCCTGGTAGGCCCCGGCTCCGTTCAGCTAGCTAAGCTCTGAAGGACAGAGTTAGCTGCAGAAGAACAATCCAAATCTACTGACTGCCCTCCTGAGCCCCAGTGCTGCCTGCTACCTACTACTCCCTGGGCTGGACCAAGGGATCTCTGGAAGAAGCCAGGCTGGCCTAGGTTACCTCCAGATGCATCCTCTCAACCCCTACTTGTGCCTCAACCATTGCCCTCCCCATTCTCTGCTTTCTTTCCCCAGGTTAGGGCTAGGGGGCCAGGGAAATCCAGCTACCCTCACTTCTGCCCTTTCTGTCTCTAGGGGGACCATGGCCAGTACAGAGTCCTTGCTGTTCACAACCTTAGGCGCCCACTCAGATCCTGACAACAGTGAGATGGAACTGGACTGCCAGTTTAACGAGGAGTTCAAGTTCATCCTGCTGCCTGTGACCTATGCAGTTGTCTTCCTGCTGGGCCTAGGCCTCAACGCCCTGACCATCTGGCTCTTCCTCTTTCGCCTCCGACCGTGGGATGCAACAGCCACCTACATGTTCCACTTAGCCCTGTCAGATACTTTGTATGTCCTATCACTGCCCACTCTTGTCTACTATTACGCGGCCCGCAACCACTGGCCCTTTGGCACTGGGCTCTGCAAGTTCATCCGCTTTCTCTTCTATTGGAACCTCTACTGCAGTGTTCTTTTCCTCACCTGCATTAGTGTGCACCGATACCTGGGCATCTGCCACCCACTGCGGGCGCTGCGCTGGGGCCGCCCACGCCTTGCTGGCCTTCTCTGCCTGGCAGTTTGGTTGGTCGTAGCTGGCTGTCTCGTGCCCAACCTGTTCTTCGTCACCACCAGCCCCAAGGGGGACACCATCTTGTGCCACGACACCACTCGGCCTGAGGAATTTGACCATTATGTGCACTTCAGTTCGGCAGTCATGGGGCTTCTCTTTGGTGTGCCCTGCCTGGTCACTCTTGTCTGCTATGGACGCATGGCCCAGCGCCTGTATCGGCCCTTGCCAGGGGCCACCCAGTCATCTTCCCGTCTGCGCTCTCTGCGTACCATCGCTGTGGTGCTGACTGTCTTTGCTATCTGCTTTGTGCCTTTCCACATCACCCGCACAATGTATTACTTGGCAAGGCTGTTGGAAGCTGACTGCAGGGTGCTGAACATCGTCAACTTGGTCTACAAAGTGACTCGGCCTCTGGCCAGCGCCAATAGCTGCCTGGATCCTGTGCTCTATTTGCTCACTGGGGAAAAGTACCGACGTCAGCTCCAGCGACTCTGCAGGGGTAGGAGGCTCCGGCCCCCCAGGACTGCCTCCTCTCTGGTGCTGGTGTCCCTGCCTAAAGACAGCAGCTGCAGGTGGACAGCTGCCTCCCAGGACAGCGGCTGCCCCACCCCTCGGGCAGGTAGTTTGTAACATTGGAAGCTGGGAAGTGAGAGAAAGGAGGTGAGTGCAGGGCGGAAGGGAGGGAACCTAATAGTGACACCGGATCTGACTGCTTTCTCCTCTTCTCTGGGCTCTGGAAAGAAGCCCTCATCTTAAGGTTTAGGAGGAGCCAAAGAAATCACATGTGACCCTATCACTCCTAAACCCTTCAGTTGCCCTTTCCTCTTTAGCCCAAAACACTAGAAGCCACTCTTTTTCCTCAACTCCTTTCTCCTTGTTTCTGTCCCCTTCCTGAGGCCACTGGTCCTGTTTCTTAGTCCTACATGACTTCTGGCCTCTCCCCCTGTTTCCTTGTACAGCATGCATTCCTTCAGCCAGGCCAGAGCAGGTGGAGAAGCTGGGGTGATCTCAGGATTGGGCTGACTTATTTGACGGTGATAGCCAGAATCAAGAAGTGGGGGCCTCAGCATATCACAGGTGCCTGGGATGTGACATATATAGTGCCCACACCCACTCCCTGGTTTCCCCTGGAAGACAGGATAGTCCTGCTTACCCAGGCACTGAACTAGGGCACAGTCCAGACAGCCTGCCTTCCAGGGTCCCCACATGCAGCTGGAGACATGGCTCTGTTGAGTGGTATGTAGCCACGACATAGAGAGGGAGCCCTCTCATGGGGTGGGAAGTCTTCTCATGGGGTGGGGACCTTGAGAAGCTTCAGGGGCAGAACCCAAGCTGATAATGGCCTTTGGAACAGGAATGGGATTGGCCCTTCTTTATGATGTTTGCTGAGAACATATTTGACAGCTCTCCTGTACTTAATGAAAGGCAGAGTGGATGGCTCAGAATAGGAGGGAGGAGCTCTCATGTCTATGGCATAAATTCCAGCTTCCAGCACCAAAGGGCGGAGCAGGTTTGTACAGAGATCGGGATGGTGACAGGGACTGAGGCCCACAGCTGGCTCTTCACTGGTCACTCCCCTTTCTCTGGCTCCTGTCCTAGATAAATGATAAATCTGTCACCAGCTCTTTCATATCAGGCTTTAGGACTTTGAGGACAGGGCAAGGCACAGGGGCTAGGACAACTTCCCTCAGAGTTTGCCATCCAGTCACTCCTCTCTAGCACCATCTTTGTGCTTACAGGCTGCTAGGAGTGGAGGTGGGATGTGAAACTTGGGGAGCTAACCCTCAAGCCATGGGAAGAATTTCTGGGCAGGCTTCTGTGAGAAGGGTAGGCTTACACTTCTAGGCATCCGCTGTAAATCGCCTTCCAGCCCTTTGGTCTCCTGAATCTCCAGCCTTCCTTTCCTTTTGCCCTGCCCTTGCTGACCTGACTCTGATCCCTTACTTGTCTCCTGGCTTCTGTGGGGTCTCTGTGGAGAGTAAGGTTAGGGTTGGTCTGCAGGAAAAAAAGACTCCAATGTCCCTGAGTCTCCTTTTGCATCCTTTTAAGGGCTCCCTCTTCCTCTCTAGATATCAAGGCCCACTTTCCTTTTCCTTTGTTTGTCCTTCTTCATCACTTTCAGTCTCTTCTATAACAGATTTCATTTTGTCTTTAAAAAATTCTATTCATCTTATTCATTTCACTGTCAAATTTCTGGAAAGAGTACCATGACTCCCATTTCCTCACCACAAAGTCATTCCCTAACTCTCTGGATCTGGTTTCCTTCCTATACTTTTCTGTACCTAGAACACAAATTGCCTCATAAGGAAAACCTTTAAGGATCTTTTCTCTGCCTTCATCCCCTTTGACTTTTCTGCTTTGCTTAACCCTGTTGCATACCTACTTTAAAGCTTTTTTTCTAAATAAAAGCCACATTAAAAAATTCCACTGATCCCTGAATCAGGAAGATCCCCTGGAGGAGGAAATGGCAACCCATTCCAGTATTCTTGCCAGGAAAATCCCATGGACAGGGGAGCCTGGCTGGCTACAGTCCATGAGGTTGCAAAAGAGTCAGACAAGATTCAGCAACTAAACAGCAACAGCATGACAATATTAAATAAAAATTTGAAAGAAAATATTCACCTCTACTTCACAACCCTAGACAACTCTTTTCATTTTTCCACATTCCATACTTCTCTAGTTTATGTAATACATATGTGTGTATATTTATATGTATATATATGTATAGGTTTAAATGCAATCAATGTACCTATATTTTAAAATTATTTTAAAAAAATTTTTTATTGCATATACTCTCCTTGTGTTACAGTCTTTCATATTCATCATTTCAATGATGATATAAAATTCTATCCATCAGTAGATCCTATTTTATTTGACTATTCTATTATTGGTCATTTAGGGAACTCCCAATTTTTCTGTGCTTTGAATAATTTAATGCATATAGCTTTTTCCTTCTTTGTAATTCTCTTCCTAGGACAAGTTCCCAGGGGTGGGATTACCAGGTCAAAGAGCATGAGTGGTTTCATAGAGCTTGATTTCCCAAAGGACAGCACAAATTTTCAACATCAAAATGACACGTGAGTGTTCCAGTTCCCTTGCAGCCCTGGCATTGGACTTTATAAGAAATCTTTTTGGATGGCTTAAACATTTAACTTATTAATTTCATTTCTTTGATTATTCATGAGATTGAACACTTTCCCACATGTTCACTATTTGTATTTTCTCTTGGGTGAATTGTCTGTTCATATTCTTCTTTTTTTTTTTTTTTTTTGTTCATATCCTTCTTGAATTAGTATCTTAGTGGTATTCTTTTCTATATAAATGTATTCTTTATTTGACATACATGTTAACCCTTTGTCATATTTGATATAACCATTCCATTTATTGTAATGCCTTTAACTTTAGTTCCTTATTTTATCTCCTTGCTTTAAAATTTCTCTCTGGTAATTTGCAACCTTGTGAACATAGTAAAAACTACTGAATTGTATACTTAGAAATGGTGAATTCTATAGTAAATAAACTACATCTCAATAAAACTGTTAAAAAGAAAAAACATTCTGTCTTCCTACTTTTCTCACTCTTATTACTTCTCTTTGCTTGCTGCTCTTTCTTTTTTATTCCCTAAGTGAAGAGAGTTCCAAAATCTGTCATAGTCAGAGCATTTGGGGATTATTTAATCCCCTCCCCTCATCTGAGCTTTGATTTTTCTCTTGGAGAGAGCATATATGCATGTGAATACAATTCAGTTGACTCATAGTCCTTGAGAGTACCTTGGAAATCTTCTAGGACCTGGGCACTGTTTCACTTTACAAAGGAGGAAACAGGTCCTGAGATATGACTTGCTCATGACTTAGTAAGTTAGGGGCAGAGCAGAGACTAGGCCCCAGGGCCCCAGAATCCCAGAGCTCCTTCCATTACACCAGGCCAACTCAGTTCCAGGTCTGACCTTTCTCCCAAGCTCTACCTTTGTGTCTTCAGTTGCCCACTGGACAATTTCACTTGGATCTTCCATTGTTACTTCCAACCCAAATTATCAAAAACTAAACTCCCTAAACCAGTTTCCCTACTTGTCTCGCTCATTTGTGTTTATGGCATCTTCTTTTTTAAAAATTTTTTTTCATTTATTTTTATTAGTTGCATCTTCTTCTTTTCTCAAGTCACCTAGGTTTGAGAATACTCAGGTAACTTTGACTCTTTGCCCTTCCTGTTTCCTTTATAGTTCCAGTGCTACCATTCTATAAAAGAAGGCCAATTGTAATTGACATGATGAGGGAATAAATGTCTGAATCTCATGAAATAGGGAGGGCAAAGAGTCAGAGTTGCCTGAATGTTTTCAAGCTTAGGTGACTTTATGGTTCCAGTGCTACCATTCTGGGGCTTCCCAAGTGAGTGCAGTGATAAAGAATCTACCTGCCAATGCAGGAGATGCAAGAGATGCTTGTTCAATCCCTGGGTCGAGAAGATCGCCTGGAGTAGGAAATGGCATCCCATTCCAGTATTCTTGTTTGGAAAGTTCCATGGACAGAGGAGCCTAGTGGGCTACAGTCCATGGGTTCACAAAGAGTCTGAGCTTTGTGAACTGAGCACACACACTGCCATTCTAATACTGGCTCTTGTCACTTTCTCCCTGACTGTCACTGCCTCCCAACTGGTCTTCCTTACCTCTAATCTCTCCTCGCATGATATATTCAGTACATATTGCCAGATTAATTGGCCTCAAAACTGCTTTCACAGTTTCACTCTCTCACTCAAAATTCTTTCATGGTTCCCCATTGTCTACAAGGCAAGTTGAAATTCTTTTGTCAGAAATTCAAGAGTGCTAGTGCATATACCTCCTCCTCATCAGCTTCACTTCTCCTCTCTTTGTTTTTACTCTTAAAAATTAAATCCCTCTTTCCAGGTGTGTGAGAAGGTGATCTGTGAACTTAAGTTACCATCTTTCCATTCTTTGGCCACTGAATAAAGATTGTGCTTTGTCAAAATACAAAACAAAAACACACACAGAAGAAGAAGAAATTCAAGAATGCCTTCAAGAATGCCTTTTTCAGTCTTATTTTCCATTCTTCCCCAGTACAAATCTCTTTTCTCCAGCTATTTTGATCTCCTCATTCTTTTTTCCAAATATGACCTCCACTTTCTTACATCTCCACTTTTATTCTTCCTTTCCCACACTCTTGAATGCCCTCCCTTTGTTTTCCCAGTCTTTTTCCTACCCAGTGACCAAGGCCCCGGGTGGCACTAGTAGTAAAGAACCTGCCTTTCAGGGTCAGGAAGATCACTTGGAGAAGGAAATGGCAACCCACTCCAATATTCTTGCCTTGAGAATCCCATGGACAGAGGAGCCTGGCTGGCTATAGTTCATAGTGTTGCAAAGAGTCAGACATGACTGAAGTAACTTAGCATGTACACCCAAGACCAAGCTTAAGTCCCACTTCCTCTGAGGACTTCTCTGCTGACTCTTTTGCATGGTGACCTTCCTGGTCACTCCTACAGTAATTATTGCCTATGTCAGTCATTTGGCACTTATATTGTCTCTTGATATTGCTTATACTACTATCCTGAATTGTTATTTAACCCTTTATGTGTGTTTGTTTTGAGTTCCTACCTGTGATAGAAAGGAAAGAGCATAGAACTAAAGATCAAAGAACTAAGTTGGATCCCTGGTTAGGAAAGCGGGGATCAGGTGTGTCACTTGGGTGACACAGACTCAGAGTCACTCAGACTCTCTGAGCCCGTTTCATCATCTGTAAAATGAAGATTGTAATCTCAGCTTTGGGTATTCCAGATTATGGCAAGACTCTGTGAATCTAGGGAGCTAAGAAAATATAATTGTTTGTTATTTTATTATCCCATGTGCTTAATAAATATTTGTAGAATGATTACATGTAGTAATTTAGCTTAATGTTTCTTCTTCTGGGAATATTTCCATGTTAAGAGGCCACAGACCAAGGAGTCTGAAGATCCAGGAGCACTTCAGGAGTAGTGGAGGTTGGAGGGCATTGGAAAGATACTTTGAAAGAAAGCAGGCTTGTCAGCAGTGACTGCCACAGGGGCAGGGGCTCTGGGTACAGCAGACCTGTGCATGGCATAAGCCCTCTTGGAAGAGGTCACCATTAACCCCACCATAGAGCTGCCAGAACTTACACAGGACTGGGGAAACAGACTCTTGGAGGGCACAAACAGAACCTTGTGTGCACCAGGACCCAGGAGAAAGGAGCAGTGACCCCACAAGAGACTGACCCAGACTTGCCCGTGAGTGTCCAGGAGTCTCTGGCGGAGGCGTCGGTTGGCGGTGGCTTGCTACAGGGTTGGGGGCACTGAGTGTAGCAGTGCGTGCATGGGACGTTTTGAAGGAGGTTGCCATTATCTTCATTACCTCCACCATAGTTTGGCTCCAAGTAAATAACAGGGCCAAATAGTATTTCTTTCTATAAAGAAAGCTGAGTGCCGAAGAACTGATGCTTTTGAACTGTGGTGTTTGAGAAGACTATTGAGAGTCCCTTGAACTGCAAGGAGATCCAACCAGTCCATCCTAAAGGAAATCAGTCCTGAATATTCATTGGAAGGACTTGTGTTCAAGCTGAAATTCCAATACTTTGGCTACCTGATGTGAAGAGCTGGCTCATTTGAAAAGACCCTGATGCTGGGAAAGATTGAAGGTGGGAGGAGAAGGGGATGACAGAGGATGAGATGGTTGGATGGCATCACTGACTCAATGGACATGAGNGTGCTTCATCCACCCTGGCATTTCACATGGAAAAAGAAATGGCAACCCACTCCTGTATTCTTGCCTGGAGAATCCCATGGACAGAGGAGCCTGGCAGGCCATGGTCCATGGGGTCGCAAAGAGTTGGACATGATTGAACAACTGAACTGAACTGAGGCTTCTCCAGAATGTCTCACATCCTACTACACTGGCTACTCACTGCTTGGCCTACCTGTAAGAGTACTGTGGATATGAAGAGAAGGAGAAGTTTGTGTATCTGAGCTTTTGCTTTCCCCACATTTTCTACTATAGCATCCCACAGTCCCTAACTGGTTATGCTAAATGCTTCACCTAGGGCCTCTTCTGTCTCTTTCATGTGATGAAACTCACTGTCTTGGTGAATGAGGTGATGAGGAGTAGTAGAGGAAACAATTTTAGTCACATAACCAGATGGTATCTTTGAATTCTTGATTTACTGCTCATTAGATGCATGATCTTGGACATGTTACTTAATCTCTCTGAGCTTTTAGTTTCCTCACTGATAAACTGGAGATAGTAATATCTATTTGGCAAGGCTGTTATGAAGTGTCAATGGAGTAATGAATGAAAACATATCATTTCCAGTTCCTATGGGTGGAAACCCCTTCTCAAAAATTCTCAACTTTAGTGTAGCTGGACAAAGAACCAGAATTCTAGATATGGATTTGATAATACTTAGAAGTGATAGTTAAGTTCATGACAAGAATGAATCCCTGAGTGTGAGAATCAGAAGGCTGAGAACTGATCACTGAGAGATGACTACTATAGTGATGGATTGGTATGAAACAGATTGGGACTGTGGCATTGTATCAAGGGAGAAGGGAGTTTCCACCCAAAAAGGATTTATAAAAGTTATCCTTTGAATGAAAGAAAAAAAGAAAGATTAAGAAAGTAAGCAATGGTGTCAAATGCCTAAGAGAATTCAGGGAGGATGAAATATTCAGAAAGGTAATAACAAACAAGTGATTCCCTATCAACCTGGATCTATGCATACAAAATATATTAGCCAATGAAATTAACTAAAGAGACCAACCTCAAATAGCTTTTGTAATCATGATCTGTTTACATGCATGTATACTGCTCCCTCCCTTTGAGTTCCTAGGTGCCTCTACCTCTTTCCAAAGATTTCAGAACAATTCATTCAATGGGTTACTTGCCATAACCTACAGAACTGATATTTCCAGTGTGAACTGAGATATGACTTGTCACCAAAAGGAAGTGCAAAAATACTTGAGTACAACCAAAGAGTGATGGATACCTTGGTATATCTTTTATTTCCAGAGCTTATGTATTTGGTCTCAAAGTGGGAAGAAGGTGAGTTATTCCTTATTGAGTCAAAGTGTACATTATTGTTTTTGTTTCTCAGTTGTGTCCTACTCTGCAACCCCATGGACTGCAGCATGCCAGGCTTCCCTGTCCTTCACCATCTCCTGGAGCTTGCTCAAATTCATATTCATTGAGTCAGTGATGCCATCCAACCATCTCATCCTCTGTCATCCCCTTATCCTCCGGCCTTCTATCTTTCCCAGTATCATGGTCTTTTCAAATGAGTCAGCTCTTCACATCAGGTGGCCAAAGTATTGGAGTTTCAGCTTCAGCATCAGTCCTTCCAGTGAATATTCAGGACTGATTTCCTTTAGGNTTTTGTATAATATACTCTGCATATAAGTTAAATAAGCAGGGTAAAAACATACAGCCTTGACGTACTCCTTTCCCAGTTTGGAACCAGTCTGTTGTTCTATGTCCAGTTCTAACTGTTGCTTCTGACCTGCACACAGATTTCTCAGGAGGCAGGTAAGGTGATCTGGTATTCCCACCTCTTGAAGAATTTTCCACAGTTTGTTGTGATCCACACAGTCAAAGGCTTTGGCATAGTCAATAAAGCAGAAGTAGATTTTTTCTGGAATTCTCTTGCTTTTTCAATGATCCGATGGATGTTGGCAATTTGATCTCTGGTTCCTCTGCCTTTTCTAAATTCAGCTTGAACATCTGCGAGTTCTTGATTCACATACTGTTGATGCCTAGCTTGGAGAATTTTGAGGATTTCTTTGCTAGTATGTCAAATGAGTGCATTGTGCGGTAGTTTGAACATTCTTTGGCATTGCCTTTCTTTGGGATTGGAATGAAAACTGACCTTTTCCAGTCCTGTAGCCACTGCTGCCTTTTCCAAATTTGCTGGCATATTGAGTGCAGCACTCTCACAGCATCATCTTTTAGGATTTGAAATAGCTCATCTAGAATTCCATCACCTCCACTAGCTTTGTTTATAGGGATGCTTCTTAAGGCCCACTTGCCTGAGCTCTCTGAGATGTCTGACTCTAGTTGAGTGATCATACCATCATGGTTATCTGGGTCATGGGAACTCTCCAAGAGCAAGAAAATGAAATCCTACTTGGAGCTGACTGGTTATCACGGTTAATTTTGTACCACAGCTTGAGGCCCTGGTCATGCTCTTGGATCTACTGATGAGAAGGAGAAACCAGAGGTACTTAGAAAACTCAAAGAGAAAAGTCAACTAATGACCTCTCAGGTGATTTTGTGCTGCTGGCATCTGCTCAACATGTGTACTTTTTACTGATATTTAGCTTATTGCTCATTGCAAGCCCTATTCCCTTTACTATACCAATAAGTTTTCACTTCCAATGTGAATTAAACATTTTTCTTACCCACTCTGACTCTTGCTGGAT